ACTTCCATAATGAACAGTTTGTTTCCTTCTGCTCGAGTCCGTTTGGTTGGTTTTCAGATGACTTGCGTGAGTGAGGGCCATTCTCAAACTGGTGCAGGGGGGGCTTGCCATTGCAGAACCCTTAAAACCTTTTAGGAGCTGAAAGAAAATCTTGAAACGGCCTCTAAATGGTTAGGTTGGATTGAAAACCAGAAACCGGGACGGCTCTCCAGAATCGCAGGTGATTGTCGGTTTTGTGGATAGCAGGCGGTTTTTGCAAGAAAATCTTACAATGGTTCATATTCTTTAAATCGCTCTTATTTTACTTGCATCCCAAGTAAACTTTAAATCCTGGTGCGAACGAGAAGCCTAAATCATAATGTCTTGTCCATTCAATACCGGTTGGGCCATTAAAAAAAATAAAAATAATAATAATAATAATAATAATGGTCTTCCAGGTTTTTGAACATGGGTGTTGATTTTGCCTTGCCTCTGGGTTTCTAATCCGCTCGAAGGAAGTTGTGATGTTCTCTGCCTGCTTTGGTTTCAGCAATAAAATGAATTACCAGCACAACCAAAACTACTACACGCAGTACTACCAGCAGTACCAGAACTACTACTCCCAGTGGGGGTATGACCCCTATGGTAGTTACAACTATGGCTACGGCCCGTATGGCCCAGCGCCCTCTGCTCCCGGGATGGCCACCCCTCTGGCGTCCACAGACGGCACCACGGTCGGCACAGACGCGCAGGCTTCGGCAGAGGTGAGTCCCCGCGTGTGTGTGGGAAGTGCACAGAGGCCATGGAGGGCGACGTCTTCGTAAACTGGGTGTCAGTGGGAACAGTGAGGCTGCAGGGAGCAAGGTGGTGTGAGTGAGTGGTTTATCGCCCTCTTGTGGTGAGGGTGGGCACGGTGCGCTGGCCGCTGTTGGCGGCTCTTGGCTCCGATTCTTTCTGGTGGCAAACGCTGTGTTTTGGCGATTTGTAAAAGATGATTACATGCCAGTTAATTGCATGTTGTCATTTCAGAAATCCGCGGAAGATGCTGAAGAAGAGCCTGTTGAAGGTAGTGTGCTCATTTAAAACATATTGGGGTCAGAAACCGTTCAGTAGTGACTAAATCTTTTTGGATTTCAACTGTGCACTTTTATCCTAAGTAACTGGAGGGTTCAGAAAATAACGCGGATAACTTTCCCCGTTATCTCCAAGTGACCTTGCTCTGCACGATGGAGTACTGATGGGTTTGCACCACTGTCTTTTTTTTTCCCCCCAACAGATCCCGCGCTGCACATGGATATCGACACGCTGAACAGGCAGTTCATGGAGCGCAGCGAAGAGCTGTACGACTCGCTCATGAACTGTCACTGGCAGCCGCTGGACAGCGTGACGTCCGAGATCCCGGCGGTGGCCAATTGCTGAGCGGTTGAGAAGAGCTCGCCTCTCACTATTGGCTCAGTCACTCCTCCACCTTACATTTTTTACATGACCTCCTGCTTTTGTTTCTGTGTTTGTGGCATGTCTTTTTGTAATCTGAATATCCCCAGGAAGCCCTAGAAATTCAAATACGTTTGTTTGCGTTTGGGAATCTTCTGGGCTCTGCTGAACATCGGGGATGTCAGTTTCAGAAATACAGGCTTAG